ATGAAAATTACAGAATAAAATGATTTAAAACCTGTTGGTCATTGAAAATGCTCTTCCAGAGTGATGTTTTAAAACTACTTAAGGTGGCCAGTTTTCGAGTTGATAGTGGCAGGGTGTTCCACGTTTTACATGCTGTCGCTGTAAAAGTTCTTCCTCCTTCCTTTTGACGTTTGACGATTGGACAAGCTACATTAAAATTTGTATATCTGGTTTCTCGTGAGTGAGTTTCACTAGAAAGTTTCAGCAAAGTTTTTAAGTAAGTAGGTACATTTCCTTGTAACCGTTTATGTACAATGGAGCATTTTGCTATCTTGGCCTGTTCATAAAAAGGTAGATCCCCGGTCTTCGTTTTCGTAGTACGAAAACGAACACCCTGCATTAGCCAAAAGAATTGCTTACTTTTTAACGAGAATTTCCAGCAGAGAAAGCTGAACGACCGACAGAATCTATTTTAGCTGTGAAATACAGTAGAAATCGATTATTTATTGACAGAGCCCAAGAGTCATTTTTCCTGTACAGAACGCGTTCTCTGTTATTCTGTCACGCAATGCTAACTATAAATAAGCTTGATAAATACAAATTAGACTAATTAGTACTCGTGGAACGTAGTTCCAAGCTTGGTGACCCCATAATCCGACTGAACAGAAGGTGAATTTGACAATTATCGATTATTTATTGACAGAACTCAAGAGTCATTTTTCGTGTACAGAACGCGTACTCTGTTATTCTGTCACGCAATGCTAACTATAACTCAAAGGCGGTTGGCGTTGGAATTCTGCAAATTAGACTAACTAGTACTCGTGGAATGTAGTTCCAAGCTTGGTGACCCCATAATCCGACTGAACAGAAGGTGAATTTGACAATTTCCGAAAAAAGTCGGTAGCATCCTTTGACACCTTGCGGCTGTCTGTGTGACCGGAAGCCCAAATATGTTTCTTCATTTGGAAAAAGAGGCTGTTATTCTCCTTCAGCATCGGTAGGGTCATTTTCCATGTTAAAATGAAGTAAATGAGATGTTCTTGTGACGTTTACAACAAATGAAATGGAATCAATCGCCATACTTCTTTGCAAGTTTACTTCCGGTTTTTAATTGCACGTACTCAGGTGAACAGCAGATCGGTAAAACTGTCTTCTGAGAATGTTCAACCGAAGATTGATTCATATGATAATTAGATTCCAAAGTACACTCAAGTAGCGCAATGCTGCGATTTGGAACAACATGTGTTAGCTTAAAAACAATCCGAAAATCCACGAGAAAAGTCTATGACCTGCCCTGACTCACCGAGTTCAGTTGCAGCTTCTAACACGTGCAGCTAGTCATCTCGTACAATCTTCCCAACAGAAAGAGTCTGTGCAAGATGTCTTAAGGGGACTGTATTATTGTGCATCAGTGTGGTCAATGCCTTATGAATTCGAATCGTACGAAGGTTAAGCAATTGCCAATATGTTATGCGAGTTACACGAACTTTGCTTAAGATTTAAATTTCTTGTTTTTTTTTTTGTTTAATGTTTTTTAGTTCATTTGTTCTTAAACTTCTCATTCTAAAATCCTTTGTTTTCATCAAGAAATGGTTTGGGTGCTGCGTGCCACCATGGAGCTCTGTTCACGCTGGAGGATGCTATGCAAGAAAGAAGCGGTAGAGTCCAAAAATACGAGTGTTTATGGAGGACGTTTTCGAATGCCTCCAAAAATAAGTGTATTCGGTTCAACAGTTAAAAAATTATGGGAGAAAAGTTGGTTGGGTGTACCGAAAGCTGCCATTGTGTTGAATCTGGCGCCGAAACGATTGTTGTCGTGCCTAGACCTTGACCGCGCACTTTACCCACAACAGACGATCGCGACAATTCCATGAAAACACCCATAGCGCTCCCAATCGCAATTACATGAGAACCAATTTTCTTTGCCCTTACAGCACATTTCATATCTACTTGATAGAAACAAAAACCCGAAATTCAATACAGCCCTATCCCCAAGGGAATTTGTGAATAGAGTTATTTTACTTAATGACATCTGGAAATTTGCATAATTCCTTGTCCTTTTTCAGAGAAGACCGCAGCAGACGATGGCCCGGTACGCTTCAAGTTTATTAATAAATGTGAACGATCTTCTGCATCTTCAAGGTGTCGAGAAACAAAAAGTTGAGTTCAAGAAAGCGTGGCATGGAAAACAAGGACCACGAGGTACGTACTGGCAAGTCGTTCATACAATTTGCGCGTACGCCAACGACTTCTTCAATGACAATGGCGGATACATTATCATTGGTGTTGATGAGAAAGAAACCTGGGAAGACTCAGACGATCGTCAAGTCAATTATCCTCCGGTCGGTGTTTCGGCAAAAGATCTTGAGAGGATACAGAGGGAGATATTAGGGGCTTGCCGGGCCCAAATAAAACCAGATTATCATCCTGTACTTTCACCCGAAATGGTTGAGTGCCCCGACGGAATACGAAAGCATGTGCTGGTTATCTGGGCCATGGCTTCTGATAACAAACCTCACACATGCAAAGAAAACGAGAAAGGAAGGGATCTTTACTATGTGAGGCAAGGAACAGAGACCAAGATGGCGACCCCTGTGCAAATCGAGGAGCTTTTGCGCCAAGGAAATAAAATTCCTTTTGATGACAGGAGAGCAATTGACTATGGTGAGAAATCGCTCACATTTAATGATAGTCGTAAGTTCTAGAGACCCTCTCACGCGATTTTATGCAATATTTTTTCTGATAACTCACCAATGAAAATGCGGGAACATTATCATAACCGCCAATATATTAACCCGCCAAAATATTGAACCACTAAAACGCACGTGCAATACTTGAGACGCACAAAAGTGAAACTGCAAATTTCTCAGAGATACAAATGAGCAATGAAATTGTCCTTTGGTTTGTTAAAAGTTTTCATTACATCTCTTGCAGCGCCCGTGGGCAAGGTGACGTAAATTTTGTGTACTGATTGGCGACTCGTGCGGGCTAGATGGGCCCGTCTTGTCCGCTCGGGATTGCCCGCATTGATCCCGCGGGTGAAAAAATTGATTTACATCTACGTTCGTAATTCCTGGGCAATGTCGGCGATGAAAACGCAAAAGGCGGCAGAAGATAGTCAAAACAAAGAAAATACAAACGACTCTCGTGAGTTTGTGGTGCTACAAACACAGATGGCTTTCTTTCCCGGCTCTCGAAGGAGACGAGTCATTCTTAATAAACTAAGCGAGACCTTTTTGCAATATAATAAATCCTTTATTAACCAAGCTTGTTTGGTCGAGATGGCTGGTATTAGTCTCGTTCTTTTTTCACATTTTTATGGATCTCGACTTAGTCTCGTCCATAAAAGTGCAAAAAAAAAAAGAACTTGGCCAATATCCAGCTATCTTGACCTCACGCTTGGTTAATAACGGATATATATTATACTTTTAAAACAACGTAACTCTGGTTTTGGCGGGGTAAACCTAACTTTCAATTTTAGTATGACTGTACCTGGTTGTCCGTTTGAAAATGGAATGGTTGTTCAAACAGCATTAACAACCTGAAGAACCATCCGATTATTCCACCGTATAAACAACGTTTGCTAGAAGATAGGAGCTAATTTGATTCAACTTTAGCTTTACTGTTACCTGTCATCCTGGTAGACATATAAATAACCAGTATGATAAAATATCATCCACATGGAGGAAATGCTTTACAATTGTTTCTGTTAATTCATTAGAGTCTTTACAGCTCATTTGCCCAACTACTATTGTAGCTTGCATAATAGTTAAAAATAAAGCTTAACTACTGAATCACTTTTGTTGAAGTTGCATTTTACTCGATGAGCAACACTCAGTCTGTCAAGAAAGAATTCACTTTTTCTTTGTAAAACGTGTTAAAATTCCCCACCTCGAAAACACGGATAAAGACTACATTTTACTCTGAAGTAACCATTACACCCAAAAAGCCGTACTATCTTACACGGCTTAATTTCACCATTAGCAAAATTGCTTTGGTTAACTTTCTGTCTTATATTATGTCTCTAATAGAATGCGGAAGGCAGCTGTCTGAAGGCGACATAGACTTACACCTTGTAAAGAAATTTTTGAAGGACGTGCAGTCTAAAATGCTTGAACACGAAGACAAAGAAGACTCAGTTGAGTTTTACATGCGAATGAGACTGCTACGACGCGTTGGGGATAAAAGAAGTGGTGACCACCTACTTCCAGTCTGGGTACCACGAAATGTGGCCATACTATTCTTCCACCCTACCCCTCATGAGTTCTTGAGAGGGGCAAGAACTGAAATTGCCATCTACAGCCATGATGATGTAACAGACGAAGTGCCGGTCACAGGACCAATTGATCACCAGATCGATACAGTGCTGTCAATTATCGTGAAGAGAACAAAAGAAGATGCTCGCTATGAATTTGTGGCATATCCAGAGAGGGCTCTTCGTGAAGCAGTTGTAAATGCCTTCCATCACAGAGGGTAGGAAGACTGCAACTGTGACCCAATCAAAATCCACATCAAGCCAGATTGCATCGATGTCATAAGTTACCCAGGTCCAAGCCCAACCCTTACAAAGGAGCATTTCACAGAAGGCAGTAAAGTACCAGAGGTACCGTCTAGGAACAGAAGGATTGCAGAGTTCCTTAAGGAGAGAAAATTGGCTGAAGCACGTTTTACTGGCGTAAGAACAATTTTCAAATCGATGAAGCAGAACAAAAACCCCATGCCATCCTTTGACTTTGATCCGACACACTTTCGCGTCCGCCTTCCTGGGCACCCGAAGCACACAGCTTACTCAATTCTAAGAGATGTCAACACCCTTTGTGCAAAGGGTGAGAAGGATGATGCAGTGAAACTTCTGATGGGAATTCTTGATGGTCATCTTCAAAATGAAAACCCAGTCATGTGTTCTGACATGTTGATTTGTAAGTTGCTCGAGCTGTATGATGATGACATCAGCCATCCAGATGTGCAACCATATGAAAGATTCATCTCTGAGAAACTGAAGTTCCGCATTCCACTCATTTCAGAGCTGTGCAAGTGGTGTGTTGCCGATGAAATGCCAGATATTTCCATCGGGGTTACGATCGTTAAGGAGCTAGTGCTAAAAGGGGCAACAAACGAGGATTTGCAGTCTGCTATTTCTAAAGCAGTTTCTTTATGTCAAGAGCGAAGTGAAGATGGAAGACCAGTACTGGAGTCCATTCAAAATGCCCACAAGCTGTTTGAGGCAATGGGCGATGTTACTCAAACAAATTCTTACGTGGCATTTCAGTTTGCATGTTGCAAATTTGATTTATATATCAACACAATAAATCAAACCGATAAATGTCGTTATAAACAACAAGAAAAACATCGAGATAGACAAGCAGACAGACATCGCAAGGATCTTATACCCTACCTAAAAGAAGCAGAGGACTACGTCTACAAGGCAATCCAGCTTACAAATGAAGAATACAAACGTCATCACGCAATGCAGTATCGCCAGCTTGGCTACATTCATTCTCAGCTGTACTTGATAAAAAAATCAACAGTGGCAAAGATCACTGCTTTCTATGACAACGCTCGAAAATACAATCCAAAAATCAAGATCAGCCGAGTATTCATTCCACCAGAATACCAGTCCCGATACATGCCAACGTCGCCCAGCCTCGAGAGTCAACTTTCTGACACTTCTTTTGAGTGGTAACTGAGTAACACATTTACAATAAGACTGTGGCCATAAACAAACTGAAGAGCTCAAGTTTACATGTGAGTAACTTCTATGAAGTACATCTGGCATTCTTAGCAAAGTACTCATTGAGGCAAGAAAGGGACTTCTATTTCTTCTCAAACCTAAGAAACAAACTTTGTATTGAAAAATCATTGTAAAAACAAGAACACATGGGATTGGCCCTGGAACACCCCCTCCTTACCCCTTTCCCCACTCAACCCCTCCCCAAACACATACAAGGTGCACGCAAATTAGGCGAAACCACATTGTATCATTTTCAAACTTTCAGTCCCTTGGAGTTTTCAAAACAGATCTATGGTCGTTTTTCTCATTTTATGCCCACCACTGTCAAATTTCACACATCCATGCCTGAAGAGAATATACATAGAAAATTTAGGACTTTTTATAAATTTTTTTCTGGGACTATTTCTTTTTCCATTTGCTTCCAAAATTTTTAAATAATAATTTCCACAAGCAGGCCCCATTTGATAAAAATTAATTTTAAAATCGGTCAATCTTAAATCTGTTATCGACAGTGCTGAAGATTGTCAAAAGGTGTCTGAAAATTAAATCTCAACAAAGATATCCTTTAGCTTTCAAGCAGGATTTGACTAAGAATTCATCCAGTGTTTCACTTCCTATGTATCTACTGCATAAAACAAATGATCGAAAAGTAATTGTGTAAAAAGACCTAGACAAGATAAAAAAATCAGCAATGTACTGAGGGACCTGAGGCAAGATGTACCATAGAGAGAAAATCTGTTTCAAATATTTAAGATTTTGCAGAGTTCCCTGTGCAATGAAAATAAACAAAGTAGCTTCTGGAGACAAACTGAGTGATGAGTGAGGGCCTTAAGGAATCAAAAAGCAACAAATTCTCTTTTCTCTAAAACCCACCCCCACCCCACCCTCCCCTCTTCACAAGCACTATTTAACACATAAAACAAAGAGACTAAAAAAATCTTAGCAGGACCCTGGAAATGATACCAGAGTCATAAACTGGGTAAATTATGATGTTTTTATTGACAGTTCTGTTTGCACACGTTCCATTCTTTAACAATTGACCTCACTATGTTTTACTCTTAGTTTTGTCCCTAGCTTTACCTTAACCAGCTCTTAGAGAGTCTACAAACTAGTGACGACCCTATTTATTCAATGAAGTCTATAAGGAACCAAAACATTTACATGTATGTACACATAGTGAAGGGAGACTCAACCAGTGATCATGCAAGCTATCAGTCTGGCTAACAGGAACACACTCTAAGATTCTGTACATACATTCAAAAATTACATTTTAAGTTGCCATAGTTCTGTACCAAAATAGATGATAAAATGCATCAGAAGGCAACAATAAAATTGACACATGAATGTTGCACATCTGTGCCTCTATGATCTACTACTCACCAGATACAAGTAACACAGACGAGATGAAATAGTCTTAATGACTACATTTCAACACCTCTTCTCATGTACACTGCATGAGCCAATCAAAATGCAACCAGATTTCATCATAAACATTTAACCACATGAAATATCACACCTCATCACAACTCACTTATACAGTGAAATCCAACATTCGAACACCACTGGCTAAAGCAACATAAAGTGATGTTCTATTGAATGACAAGGAGTACACTGGACTGGATGAGTTTCTGCCAGCTTAGTACATCTGCAAAAATATGAATCGTTGTCTCCATCAGAGGGAAATTCACAAGTAAGAATGATAATTTACTAAATGGCAAGGATATTACAACAAATCTGGAAAGAAAGTTTAAAATCCCAGACCCACATGTTCTAACTACTTTTAGCAGCAAGAAGTTACCACTACAATTAAGCATAATCTTCCAAGAAATTCCTAAGAACATTGTCAAATTTTCTAACACTTGGCAGATACATATTTACACTTTTAGTAAAAAGAGGCACTGCTACACCACACACCGGCTTAGAAAAAAATCACCTAAGACAGGGCATCAACCCCAAACTCTTGTACCAGCAAGGCTGTGCTCTAAGAAAAATTGAAGAGAGCCCCAGTGCTCAGATCTAGGGTGCCCAGCATATGCTTTTTATGAAAAAACTAAAATTCCTAGGTCGCCCAAGTACAAATGTAAGGCACCAGGGGCCACTGGGCACTGCTAGAGCACAGCCCTGACCACAGTTCTGCAGACCAACCACCATGATGAAAAATGTCCACAATTTTGTCACCTTTTCAAGAAGCGTTTATTAATTTCTGACATTCAAAGTAAAACACCTTGGATATTTGTTTTAGCGAACTCTACCAGAAAAATCACGGTCTAAAAATTGGATCTCTGAGTATCCACTAAGAGGGAAACAGTGGTATAGTTGTTAGGGAAAGACCTCTGTCAGCTAACACAATGTACCAAGTCTGAAAAAGAGGTATTTCAAAACCTGGCATGATAACATTTTACCAAAAAAATATGCACTCAAACCTGAAGGCACTTTCTAAACCATTTGTCCCAAATCCTGACCTAAATTTAACAAAAAAATTGGCAAGATTTTTCTCACACAAATGAGAGGTTATCAAGACATATGCTATGCTTCAAATTTTCTTGGTCTTGTTTTTTGTTTATTAGTTTCTTTTTCCTTGTTATTGTTGTTGTTTTTATGAAAGGAAAAATTGGAAATTTGGAATCTAAAATGATATGAATAAATAATATACAACAAGAAGAAACTTGAACATTTTCATTGCACACACATTTACTGTTAGTAAATTCTACCTCCCACTTAAACACTTTTATTAGTTTTTAGCAAACTTCATACTAGCAAACAGAAGACTCCTCAACTAGATATAAACTGTTCAAATGGTAAGAGAACAGGACTTGGTCACTTCAGTAGGTAATACAGGGCATATGTTTGTAAACTATAATAAGAATAGATTTTTTACTATTCATTATGACATAAATGTGCAAAATTGATTGTGGACTAAGCACTGAACTACGTCAGTATAAAGGAAAAGAGGAATGCCAGTCATTTCAAGTGTTGGACAATGGGAGGGACAACAAAAAGGCCCTCATTCAAGGAGTTAATTTCTTTCATTCCCAAGATCTCATTAATTCAATTCAATTCTTTATTTCACACTATAAATGACATTTTCAGGGTTTATATTAAAGATACGAGAAAGAGAAAAAAATTAAGGTAATATTTGGCTCTAAAAATAAGGTTGAGATGAGCACAGTGTCCAAGGTAGCAAGTCAGCTTTCTAGTTGGACACCATAATGGTCTTATAAATAGCACCCTATACTAAGAATAAATTAGCAGTAAACTAAAGTTAAGTTTGATTATAAAGCGAAGTTGACATTTCTATTCTTTCTTAAAGGTATTGTAAGGCATATATTTAAGATTGGTGGGTATGGTTTCCCATTATTCCATTATTCCCTTATTCTCCTTATTGTCTGTCGTACAATTCACATGATGTTAGTCTGGAGAATTTGGTATTGGATCAACCAATTTTCCCCTAATTGAT